AGCCAATCTATAATCACATGTTGTAACAGCAGCCTTAACCATCTTTTGGGAATCATGTCCATGGGTCCTAGAAAAAGCCCCTTTCAGTCAATTTCCTAAAAATAACATAGCACTGAATTTAACCATACCTACATATTGCACCTACAACTGTATATTTCAAATTCCTCGAAGCGGCTTCTCGCCCGAATCCACAGTATGTGTACCGCACTAACCGGTACCCGGGGGTATCGACAACCCCCTACGATAACCAGCCCAAGAGGGCTACGGTTACGATAGTGTAGGGGTTAGAGTTGCTATACCGGAACTAGGGCGGTGGCCACCGGTACCTGGGGTACTCCCAGGTACCGGCGCTCGGGTGTGGCCCCGAGTACATAGTACTTGGGGTCCGGTGCTGGGTCCCGGCTTAATGGCTTTCGAGCGCCCGTACCGGCAGGCTTCTCTCACCCCCTATTGTGCACTGCCACGCAACAGCATGCCCCATCCCGATGGTTTGGAGTAGTTGCACCATGAACACTCAAGGCTCAGTCAATCGTTCTGAATCTCAATAAGCGTTTTAAATAACCATCTCTGGTAGAGAATTTCCTGGCCATACGTGCACAAAAACTGTGCTTAAAAATGACAGTACGTAGTCTCTCCTTTCCAGCCTCCTTTGACGTCTTTTGGTTCCCAATACGATCACGTTTTCATTGCTTTTTGACCGTAACAACTTTTCATGCAAAATGTCGGTAAGGTCCGAAAGGTTGCATTGTGCACAACATCACGATTATGTGTTTTTCTGGGCATAACGGTTGTGCTCAAGATTGGCCGTCAAATAACAAGGAAATGTGTGCACAACTTCGCCATTCCTGAGTGCACAAAAAGAGAAGAGGATGCATGTTTTGTTGTTTCCCTTGACCCCCTTACCGACATTTTGCACGAAAGTTAGTTCCGTGCTTGTCAATTCCTTTTCCTCAAGTCTGACTGGCTATCAGTGTCGTTCCAGTCAGCTTTTCTGTGTCTGTCATCAAGACACAATATACTATAGTGATAGCCATTATATTTACCAATGCGTAAATAGCCATTAAAATGAGTAAAAATTGGGAACTGTGTATCTAAAGACAGTACATACTGACTGAGCATATTTTGGGAAGTGGCATCTAGATGCGCTGAAATATGCACAAAACGATGTTTTGCTCGGCGACGACGTTGCCCTTGCAGAGGGTGAGGTGTGCGCTGTGTTGCCGGTGCGGAAGGGAGCGGAGGATTGATCGTTGATTGGGACATCATCATGTACTCTGGGCATGTTGACGAGTCGTAAATATGGCCGTAAAATTGGCCGTTTGTCTATTTACACGTGTTTGCATGCAAAATATAAATGTAAACATGGAGCCGTAAACGTAAAAACCAGGCCTGGTTTGGAACCAAACAACGTTGCATTTTCGGCAACTCTGCAGTTTATTTCGGAAAGCCATTGCGATTTTGGTAGTTCTATTCATCCTAAAGTCGAGGGTTGCGCTACAATGACGAAGGGTTGAACACATCCTGCCACCTCATCCTGCACATCTCACGAAGCAATCTTCTCGAAACGCGAACATTGCAAGACACGCTCTACCACAGCAGGTTGTGGTCCGTGGCAAGGGCCTGTATACGACGGCCCCGACCCGCGATATCCTGCCCGATTCGGCCACATCACCAGTTCGGTGATATGGCCGGACGGGATTGGGTACCCAGCTGGGTGGGCGGTTTCTTTCCCAAAGTCGGTCCCCGCCGATGCCCCCCAGCGCCCCGCCCACCCCAAGAGGGCCCCCGCGGCCCATCCCGGCTTCGCGCCGATCACGTAATCCGCGCTTGCCCGACCCATATGCCCGTGACGTCCGCTGGCCGGGGCCGTCGGCCCTCCGACGTTGACAGGGCTTTGCCCTACAAGCGCCGCCGCGCGGGTCGGCCTATCAAGCGGCGCCTGTCGCCGTGCGAGGGGGCCGGCGAAGGCAGGGAGGCGGGCGCGACCCCGAGATCCAACGGCGGGGCCCGGAGAGGGGATCCTGGGATGGCGGGAACGCGTGCAGGGGCAGGGGGTGGGGAGGGGGACGAGCCCAAAGGGAGCGAGGGGGAGGAGACGCGGGGCAGGTAGGGCAGCTCGGCTGCGGGGCAGGGATCGGGGTGGATCGGGCGATTGCCGCGGCCCGCCGGTGTTTGGCCGCGGATGTGCGCAAATCCTGTGAGTGGATTTTGTCGGATGGGCGGGGCGGAGGGCCCTTGCGCTCGCGAGGGGCTGGCGGGCGCTTGCAATGCGCGCGCTGTTGCTCCCGGAGATTGCATGAGTGGACAAGAAGACCCACCCACTGGGAGTGCTGGCGACTGGGCCGCCAGCGCGACGCGCGAATCCATGGGCGGGAGCGGTGTGGCGGATGTCGTGCAAGTTTCGATGGTCGGTTTTCGAGCGGATGCGGAACATGCGCGTGGTCGGGTCCGTGGATTGTTCCGAAAATGAGCAACCGGGCGCGGCGCAGCCTTGCGCGGCTGCCAGTCCAGGACGCATGGCGCGACAGCGCAACCGCCGAAGCCATTGTGAACGGGAGCCTGGGGCCGCGGCCCATGTCGCTGGTCGCTTTTGTTCTGTAGCCCGTTTCGAACACCTTCTCGGGTCGGGACGCCTTGATGGGAAAGGGATGTTGGATTTGGAGAACCAAGATTTGGAGATGAGCAGCTGATGTGCGAAACGCGACAGCAGAGGCCCGTGACGCCGAGCGATCGCAGATTTCCATGCGGCGCGGCATTCTCGCATTCCGCATCGTAGCACATACGTTACGTAACGGTTGCGTTTCACATGCAGAGCAGTAAAAGAACGTAACAAAAATGTAACGGTCTTCCAGCGAATGCGGAGGATCCACGAAAGTAGCGTCCTGGCTGGCTCCAAATTTCGTCAGATTCGCAGCTTGACACATCAGCATCTGAACGTGGCCCGTGTGCTGTTGCACTGTCACGTGACTTGCTTTGCCTGCCCGCTTGCTTGCAAAGCACTGCACGGAAGCAAAGCAAACCACGCTGCAAGTAAACGTGATATTCTTGCTGATTGCTTGTCTTTGCCTGCTGGCGAGCAAAGGAAAACTGTCAGCAAGAGTGTTGGTTTTGGTTGTGGTGCGTCACCGCGCTCCGACTACACAATGGGCATTATTCCCCATCGCAACCACTCAGCCACTGATCGCCAGATCTGTGACGCCATAGAAGGCCTCCATTCTTGCACATCAGCAGTCCATTCGGAGCAACCACAAGAGCTAGCCTCCCTGTGGAAGGCCACCCAAATTCTGAGCATGTCTGCCCTGGTTCGGCTTTCAACGCCCACTGCGCCTGGCCCTCTGGCTGTGTAGGACCGTGAACAAGCATTGCATCTGGCCTACCCGTTGCCCAGTCAGAGGACACCCCTTCCCTTTTCAGTTGGGTTACACAGTACACAAATAACACGTGCCAGTTGGCAGGTCCGCTCCAAGCAGAACATGGCCAGCAAAATGTTCTGCCCAACGTGCTCCTGCTGGATGCGATGTGGAGGGAACAAATGACGAAGTAATGGTTTGTCAATTACATAATGTTTAGATTTCAACTTGCAGAAGGGTTGAATATGCTATGGTATTCACACGCTAGCTACCTCAGTGGATGGAATTCAATGGCTTGGGGCCCCTTGCCATACTGATGGTATACCGATGGTATACCAATAGAGAATTGATGTGTGTGGTGCCGATTACATATTGCAAAATGATAACTTGCGCATTTGGGTGTTGGCCTGTGGAATATCCCACTCAAAAAGGGAGAGGGCAGTTCCAGACCTGTGAGATTCATGTAAACAGTTTTGAAGTTAGATGGAATCGATGCTCCCGTTGCTCAGTGCTCAGCCTGCATGTGCACTGAATTTATGCTGGTTTGCCCCACACTTGTGCCATTGTGGTTGAACGTGGGATATCAGACGTGCTGGGCCACCTCATGTCTGACTGGCTGCCAAAACATTGGAGCTTTCAGTACAAGAGGGCAGCTGCCTAAACAACCACTACCTTCCATAGTATCTGCAGTCAAGCATTTCGACTAGTACCCTGATTACAACATCCCTTTTGAGGATGGCTGTCTGCGTGCATTTCAGGTATCCCTCCACATACTTAGCTGCCTTCATAGCAGCCTGCAAATGTGATGGGCTGTGCCCCTGCTTTGGTGCAGTCACCCAACAAATCAATCGGTTTGGGCTCTAATGATGGCTGCACCCATGCCCAGGGCGCCAAATGTGGCCATGGTTGTCGTTTAACCATGTACACCTTGCAGCCTTGCCCCAAACCTACATGGAAAACACACATCTAGACAGTGACGGCTCCTTTCTGGAGAAGAAAACAAGATTGCGGGTTTATTTCGACCTGTCCGCAGGTGGTGGAAGCACAACATTTCTTTGTCCTTGCGCACCATGCGAAGCTGATGAACAACAGCATTCAATACAGCTATTACATGGTCAGAGCAGTGGAACTACGAAATTTGAAACTTCCCAGAGGTTACAAACTTGGGTTCTGCCTCACAGTGGTGGTGTGCCAGTGCAGCCACAGAATCTGCACGCTTGGAAATTGTTGAGGCACAACCTGGAAAGAGATGGTGAGGATACACGCATGTTTCCATCACCACAAGACCAACCTGGCTGGTTTCCATCTGGTAGTCCTCATGTTTTACCCCTTCATTGGAAATCGACGTTTGTTGGATGTTGATGGTCTAAATATTGCAAGCTGCTGCCCTTACCTTCATGTTGTATTGGGAGCCTGTGACAAACACAAGTCTTGCTTTCCTGACGAATTTGTGTCTCCTGTTGCAGCAGTGCAGGGTACATAGGCAGCCCTGCTGCCCATGGCCAACGTGAGGTGCGACGAGGGGGAGCGCCTGACATTCCTGACATTGTACTTGTGGAGCCGCCCTGCCTGCCAGCACAACAGCAGTGTGAGGTCAAAATCCACCTGACGCATGAGGCACAGCCCGCACAAGACCTGGAGGCAGTGCTGATGAGAAACAGGGAGGTTTTGGCACAGCTGCCACTGGACATTGATGGTGGGAAGATTGCAAGGTGGGCACAAAGGGACTTCCCCCACAGTGCCTGAATGGCATTTGTCGCACCCGCAAGCTGTCCCATGCAAGGGGAAATGTGCTGTTCTCTGATTCTGTGCTGCAGGGCGATACATTGCCCGGTGTGCTTACTGTGCTGAAAGAGTATTTGATGGCTGTATTCTGACCTTGAGGAACAACTCGATGACAGTGGCCGGAGGTTGTTGATGCGCCTGTCTGCCACCGGCTGCACAATGCAGGGGCCCTGCTTTCCGTTGTGCAGGCAGCATTGTTCTAGGCATTTCATTGTCTGGACAGGCCAGGAATTTGTCATTTGGTGGTTTCTCTGCTCACAGGCTGCCTTGCACAGTGCCAGATGCCCTCAAGCACCCAAAAACTGCACATAGCATTCACAAAGCGCTGCAGCGATAGCCATTGCTGTTCCACTGCAGTTTGTTGTCTAACATTCAGGTTTTCAATTGCTGCTATTTCTGTGGTTAGGTGCTGTTGTTTCCAAATGACCTTGCCATTTTGAGGCCCAGGATGCATTGCTTATTGTGAGGCTAGTATTGTGTTGCAAGAGATATCTGCTGCAAACAGGCTGGCACTGTCTGAAAATCCCACCTCTTTCCATAGCTGTGCACAGCATGATGCCAATTCAACACTTTTCCTTTGTGAATCCCAATTTACTGCCTGCATCAATTTGTGATGAATCGCTGCCCTTGCCCCTATTGGATGATGCAGGTGCATCAATTTCGCATCCACATCTACAAGTCCCCTGACAACCTCTGAGATGGCGGCTTTGAAGTGCAGTGGCACTTGAATGCGTTGCCTGTGCGCAACTCTGAAATGTTGCCTCTTTGTCAGGTGTGTCATTCCTGCTCTTGACCCCTGTTCCCTGGAGGCCTGCATCAAGTCCCGTGCCTTGGCCGCAGTCCCCGATGGACAGCCCACCACATCTCTGGTGTCCCTGCCAGAAGGAGTATGGGAAGAAGCATGCCAGCTGCCAGAGAAGGCGTTCGACTGCATTCGCACAGGCAGCCCACAATCCCAAGCTGAATTTCTGGACCTCTCTCCCGATCAGGTGAGACTGAGGGTGAGGAGGCACCGTTCGCATAGGATATTGTTGCAGCAAGCTTTTGTCTTGCCTTCAGGGCATGTTCTCTTGCTCCTGTGTGCGGCTTGCCATTCCTGCTGCATTCAAAGACTTCTGCCTCCAAAACCGTTGGGGAAAGTTGGGCAGCAGCCCCAAATACTAATGGTCTATGTCTTGCATCCAACTTGCACAAGAGGGTGTCAGTGCATCTACATTGCTTCTGCATATAGAAGACTGTGCCTGTTGTGTGTTGGGCATCCCTGTTGCCACAAGGCTCTCTTTGCCCATGCACAAGAGAGTGCCAGTGTGTCTACATTGCATCTGCATCTGGAAGATTGTGCATGTTGCATGTTGTGCATCCCTGTTGTCGCAAGGCTCTCTTTGCCCATGCACTCTGGGTGTCTGTCGCACTCTTGAAAATATAGGTGAGTCGTTGTGAATGAAAGCAGTGAGCTACATTTCCCACCTGGAAAGATGACCCCAGATGCGTAAGTGGTCGATCGTGGAGCACACAGTGGATGCATGTGCAGGGATTTCGTGCACTTCGAATGAAGTGTGTGCAGCACCAGCTGAGTACAAAGAGGAGATCGAAAGTGTGAGATAATCTCCATGCACCCCGGGAAGCATGAGTGCAGTACACAGCGTGGCTCCTGTTGTGTGCTCATGGCTGCTATCTTTGCCCGTCTTTGCTTCAAAGGTGCTGCAGGCCAGTGCCTCCTTGCATTTTGCTGAAGACAATGAAGAAGACAGTGAAGTAGATGATGCTGGTGTCTTCCTGATGCCAAGCCATGGCAGACAGCACAGAACACTGGGCTACTGATTGCAAACTCACAGGATGCATGCTGCCATTCACCAGCCTCACACGCATGCTGCCACTCGCTGGATGTTTGTACCCCCAAAGTGATAGAGGAACAACAAGCATTTTGGATGTGCCAGCACCTGCTGTCGCCTTGAAGGTTCAAGGCAATGTTTCCTCTTGAGCAGGGGCACACACTCTCAGTAGGATTCAGCACAATCTGCATTTGTGGATGAGCAACACATTGTGTCACTGTTGATGTTCAGGCCCACCAGGAGGAAGCCCTTGGCGACCAGAAGATACGTGAGGGTGTGTGGCGGAAGCACTTCCAGATATTCAGCCAGGACCTGGGTCGCCTTATGGTGGCCCTCGGCTCTTCGACCAGCCTGGAGGACCATGACAAGCCGCTGCTGCACCGCATGCTCGTCTACCTCATGACCAATGGTGCGTGGGCCATAACATCCTTCCTGTTGAGGAGCTGCATGGACAAGGGCATCGTGGTGGCCACAGGCGACAGGGCGCTGTCCCTGGACCACATAGCGCCTGAACGGCTCAAGGAGTTGGCACAGGAACTCATTCGAACGCGGCAGCAGGGCGTAGGGGAGGGGGTCTTGTCAGTGGCGGACTTTCACCATTGACTTTTCAATTTTGGCGTGGGTGTTGCAAGGAGTATTGACGGGGTCGGTGCAGACGACTGGATGGGGAGTGAATGAAGTGGGCGCTGCTGTTTTGGCACTCCTGGACCCTGCTGTTTCGGCCATTCAGGCTGGGATCGTTGGGCGTTGCTTACTGCACGTGGCAGAGGGAATGTCGATGGTCATCAATTTCTTTGAGTTTTTCCACAGGATGTGCGGGGGAGGCACGTTTGACCTGGCAAACAGTCTCCAGGCACGCGAGCCAGTTGACTGGCCCGCGGGCAGTACCGGTTCCCTGCCAGGACGACTGTCAGCGGATGGTCATTGCGTTTGTTGCATGGGATGATTGGGTTGACGTCATCGCGATCTGGACACGTGGGTAACGGGGAAGGACGATTGGATTGGACTTGACGTGAATGTTGTTTAGAGGAGACGCCAATGGAAGTTGCGCCAATTGCTAGCATTTGTATTGTGCCGCGAGGTGTGCATGCGGCTTTGGGCCTCATGAATCTGCTCCCCCAACGATGGGGTGTTGGATAACGCTCTTGAGCGTTGGCTGAAGCAGGGCAGTAGGAAATCCAATCGCGGTTTTTACTTCGTGCATGGGCTTGATCATTTTAGATTGGTGGTATGAAGCGGCGTGTAACATTAATGAACCACGTACACTGCTGCACCCCACGCTGTCAACTTCTGGGTCCATTTGTTCACCAGTTGACTATTGGTGAGAGCGCTGCCCTATTCTTGCAGTCGGATCATTGGAGTATGGGGTGTGGTCAAGCAGTTGTGTGAATAAGGACTGAAGACAAATTTCCAGGAAGCAAATGATGTGGTTAGAGCGTGTTGCGAATGTTGGGGAAAACTTGATCATCTGTTTTTCAAACAAAAAGGAAGGGCCAGTGTCTTTTCAGCCAATTCAAGAACCAGTTAAATTCAAGCAATTCCACTACCAGTGCAGAAAGTGCTGACACGCCAACATGTGTTGGATCTGGGTGGAAGGATGTTGCAGCTGTGAATTTCGGCCACCAAGCTAACCCAGCTCCAGAGCGGCCCCGCCTTTTTGTCGCTGAGCGAGATAGCACCGCCAGGACCAAGGGGTGCTCGCGCTCTCATTGGAGAGGAGGCAGATCGTGGCGACTCGTGCAATCGGATTTGGTGCCTGAATGGCCAGATGAGGTGACTGATTCGGGACCCATTCCGCCTTTCTTGGCGTTCGGTCAACTAGCGGCGAATGAAGCCGGAAAATGACTATCAATTGCGTGGACGTACATGGGGATTAAGCCCTTTCATACAGGGTCAGGTTTCGCAATGCACTCTTGGCCGTCTCCTACCGCTACAAAAAGATTGCATGGTAGACATGCGCACATTCCAACTTGTAATCGTATGGCTCTTGCGGTCGCGGCGGGGGGCCCGAGGGACATATCAGTGGTGATTTTCCAACCTGCGGTTGCATGGTCGCCGTACAGTAGCCGAATCGTATTGTGCAGGAATCGGTGGCCATCATGACCGGGGTTGGTTGGCAACTGACCGAACGTCGCTCCAGGGCGAATTTGTTTTGCATGCGCCCTAGCTGCCCAAAGAGATCTCCTTGCACAATTGTCCGACACCCTTCATTTCCGGACGTGATGCCATGAACGCCATGCAGGTCTTCAGCATGACGAAGGTCATTTTGGGGTTCAGGGTGCTCATGTTGTGGGGTTTTGGTACGCTAGTACCCTTCATGACATTCATGCCCGGTAATGATAGGCATTGGACAGTCCCCCTCGGAAGGTGAGGGTGCATGCAAAACAGGATTGACTTGGAACCGAGGGGAGTGTCGCGCTTGGCAGACACCTACTGACAGATAGTTAACTTTGCGTCGGTCCGCAGGTGCTGTAGTACATTGCATATTACCTTCCGCATTGTAACTCAACGTTTGGCCTCCTTACCTGGAGCAGTACTGAAATTTCTTTTATTGAAACTTTTACTGAAATTTTTCGCAACGGTGCCAAGAAAATGTGGAGCAGCCCCAGCCGCTGCACGAGGGTCTTTGGAGTGCTCGTGGCGCCCAGCGGCCCCCGATATACAAGTCGCTGTGGCGGAATATCGGCTTTGAGGCCGTGTGAACTGAGCGAAGCCGCATTCCGGCTGTGGCCATGATGCAGAACCCCCCGGAATAGCGGTCTGTCGAGAATATGCGGAGCTGCTCGGGTAGCCAATAATGGGAATCATCAGAAAATTAGTATCCTAACGATACTACTCAACTGGCGACCCGTGAGGTCCAGAGGTGGGAAAAGGGAGTGTTGGCGGCCTCAGCATGTCCGCTAATCTGATCAACATTCGACAGGCTGGTGAGCAATGAGGCAGAAATGTCTTAAAATTGTCAAACAGGGGTGCGCACATTCAGCAAATTAGTGTTGTTAAGGTTGATCTAAAGTTGGATTTGAAAGCCTCAATCTGCTGCCAGTCAATTCTGTAACATGATTGCGTCATCCCTATTTCACTGGGAGATATTTTCAACTTGCTTAAGGACGTGCGTCAATAGACGTTGTTCTGGCCATGATTTGGCCGAGCTGTGTACGTTATGAAGAGGACTGGCGTTTACGATGGAAAGGGGCTACCCCCGTCGTGTCCTGCTGCGGAGCACGACGAGACGGAGCCAGGGGGCCCGCACGGAGGCGCCACGTGGCTATGTGATGGAAATATGACCCGCGGGGCATTCTATGACTGCTGACCGCGGGAAGTGGGGTGTACCCTAACGAATTGCGCTGACAAGGGGGTGTGACAGGGATATTCCGGGGAATCAAAAGATACTTTCCAACGAAAGGGGTATTGAGGGAAATATCGGGTGCCTTGAGTGGTTATAAGTACAGAGGGCGCGAAGAGCGCCGTAGGGGACGGTGTATTGTTGACTTCGGCATGGCAGCTGTAACAACAACTGCGTGTGGTTTCCCTGTGCCTTGCGTGGCCGCCCAGGGCATGCGGCCTGGCTGCCTGAGTCCCCTGGCTGTGCGCACCACGTGCGCCATGGCCTGAGCGCAATAGCACTCGACCTTTTCGAAGGCCGCGGCCATTCTGATCCGTTTTTTAGCTTCTTTTCTTGCCGTTCACGACCCACATCTCGAGTGCGGTCTTGCTGCCGGGCAAAATTGGCCAATCGTTGTCGCTGCGCAGCCGTGATAAGCCGGAAAGGATCCCTTCTGCGTCATACGCTGCCGCATTCTGGACGGGGCTGAACGGACCCACGGACCCAGCCGACGTTGTTGACTTCATCTACTTTGAGAGCTGCTGGGATGGGCTGTGGAGCTCTCTGCGGCAGTTACAAGGCTTGTAATGCAAGCCCTTCTACAGGGATATTGTTTGCATGCGTTGGACGACGGTTGGTCATCTGCTGCCCGTTTGAGACGCCATTCCACTGCCATTGCTACTTTCGGTGGCGATCGTTCTTGTGACAAGCGGTGCTCCGTGAGGAGCCAGTCCACGCAAGGGGGACCATCTTCATCGTTCAATGTACTCTCAAACAAAGTGGAGCTGAGGCTGTCGACGTGGACCAGCTGCCCATGAGTTTGGGAGAGGTTGTGCGTGGTTCCCATGGCGACCATCGACATGTGGGGTGGCGGTTGCGCCATCAGGGGGTTGGATGTTGCAACCACAGATATATGACCATGTACTGCTGTTGTGTACTGCGAGAGGGCCCCCATGCATTAGCAGGCGGAGCCCTTACATCGTTTGATCTTCCACTGCGGCGCCCATCCGGAAATTGTACGGGCCATCAGGACCGGTGGAGCTCAACGGAACGAAATCGCAAGGCTGAGATTTCGAAATACAGAAGGGTCTTATGTCATATGCTCGCAAACCGACTTGGAGCACCCGGAAAATGAATTTCTTAGAGTCCGAGCCAGCTTGCTCCTCGCGTGTGCTTTCTGATCTGATCCTGTGGGCGCATGCAACGCTGTGCAGCGACGGTGCAAATTCCGAACGTCCAGAACGGCAAATCACTAAAGAAAGTTGCCTTCTGCGTGTGGCTGGGCGCTCAGCGGCCCTAGAGGCCCGCGGTGACGCTTAGCAATAGCAATCGGCGTACCATGATCGGTTCGTGGAATGCAATTGCCACGTCGCACGAGCAGATGCCCATGGCAAGGAGGCCCAAGGGTTGACTTGGAGGCAAGGCGGGTCGTTGAGTTATGCAGTAAGTGGGAATATCGGGAATGGGGGAATGAGTCCGCCGTCGACGGGAGATTCCTTGGTGGGGAGGGTGGTGAAACAACCGTGTGATGCAAGCTGGCGAGGTGGTAAGATTTCAATCGCCAAAGGGGGTAGGATGGCGGGAAAGGTCTCTGTGGATGGCCTCGACCATCGTGCCACTGGTTGTGCACGCGGGTGCTCGGGGAGAGAAATTCACATGCCGTCCTTCCAAAGGTACTCGCATGCTCTACATAGGAAAAACGTACGATTGTTAACAATGCAGGTGCTGTTTGATAAAGTGGGGACGACAAAGGTGCAGAACGTTGGGCCGCAGGCCTAGCCTCTGGACTGATATAATATGCCAAGGTACGTTGCATTCCCGTTCCGGAATCTCTCGCACCTCACGCCAGGACACCTCACAACAGATCTCAGCGCGCAAGGTTCCACAAGGAAGTCGACCCGAACCCAGGGGTGGAATGACGTTGTGCAGGTCGTTGGGGCTCCTTCGGCCATCCTACACCGCGCCATGCTGTGGGCATGTGCTGCGAGCACTCAGGCCTTCCTTCTGTTGGCACCGCGTCCTCGAGAGCAGTAACCAGCTCGACTCGAGACCTGCCGTCTGCAGCGCACGGGAACGCAGTCGCCCCGCTTTGCTGCTGCTAGCACACGCAGACGGATACATCTTCTGCTCGGCACTTGGGCTCTGCGCGCACGGCGTCAACGTTGATGGTGAGTGCATGCTCAACGCGGAGATTCTGAAGCGGGAGGGCCGCACGAACATCTGCTCGCATAGTTCGTGCGCACAACTTGCCGATCTTCGCCGATGCTGACGTTCTCGGAAGTGGGGATGTCAACGTAGAGTTGAGGACAGCGGCTGTGTGGTACCTGTGTCTTTTCCGCGTGGAGGAGGCGCTTCTGGTGTCACACGCCTCCGGTGGAGGCCCCGGAGGCAGCCTCCTATAGTGCTCCGCTCGGACAGGACGCCTGTTGGCGAAATCTTTTGTGTGTTTGAGTCGTTCGGCTCCCTCTTATGGCCACGATTGACGGCCTTGCTGCCAGAGTTTCAGACCCCTGTGCATAGAGGAGCTGTCGACCGGACAAGCCTGGCGCTCCCTCGCAGTTGCCTGGGTCATAAGATTTTGGAAAAGCTCCTTCGAAGGTGCTTTGCGTTGCTCCCAGTTGGCTGGCCGCGGTGGTTTCAAGCAGGGGTGGTTCTCCAGCATCTGCTGAAAGCTGGCCGCCGCCAGTGGAATTTGATACCCATGCTGCCGGACGGTCACGGGAACGTTTCACAACGGCTTCCAGATCGCACAGCGGAAAGAACTCTGAGATCGAGGGCCTCGCCCCACGCGCAACTTGATATGGCGGTTCTCGCCGACACATTGGTCAACGAGTGCGCGCCGCTGCTGCCTTGCACCTGATTCGCTGGCCCAAGTTGCTGTTGCAGCTGAATTGCACATACCCGTTTATGCTGAAGGCCGTGAAGACAAAGCCCGTATTGTGGACTGTGGCGGTGTTTGTGGCATTGGCGACTCCCTGCCTCTTGGTCACAGGGAAACCCAACAACACCATTGCCACCCCTTTGCGGACGGGAATCAACGACACGCTGAAGTTGACGTTTTACACCGGTGAGATGATCTGATTTATTGACAAAGCGCTTTGATGAGCGTTGATTCGATCAATCGCATCAACTGAAGTGAAAGGACGAAGGTCAATTGCAATGTTGCAAAGCAAATGTAAATAAAGGAAATAGCACTGAGACACGTGATGCGATGGGCATCACCCTCCCAGCAAAGCATGGTGGGCTTGTGCCAAAATGACAGTTGATTTCGAGTGATTTCGCTGTGCTGTGCTGTGGAGTCCATGACTTGCATGTCTGTGGCTATAAGGTACAGCAATGGTGCCATGCAATTGTGCCACTGTCTGCCGCTCCTGCAGCAAAATTGTCTGCCATGATTTGCAATGTTTTTCATTGTACACAACAGCCATGCCACAGCACATTAACTCCCTTGCATCAATGCTCCTGCTGTTGTCTTGCCTTTGTATGGGTGAAGTTTTTTTCTGATGAAATGGGTTTGGAGGTGCTGGATCCACTTCAACAACTCAATGCTAACATGTGCAAAAACACTGGAACTGTTGGTATTTGTTCCAAATATGCACATCTCACATACACAGTATGTGTTACGGCCGTACATGCATCTACATCGTCCTTACAATGGACTTTGTTGCTCTGTTTCATGATACCAGGCCCTATGCACTTGCGTGGCAAGGTGGAAGACAGTGATTTCTCATTCTGCACTGCATGGATCTGTGCCAGCACGAGTTGTGTTTGAATTGTGCATCGCACAGGCATGCTGAATTTCCAGCTGGTGGCTGCAGGGAATGGAACATGCATTGCTTGGGGCCATCAGTGCAGATATGGCATGCCTCTCAGCACTGTCAAGTGTGAGCCTGGGCAGGGAAGCATGGAATATGAAAAAGTGAGTCGCTAAACACATGCATGAAGCTGTAATTGCTATTGTTTGTTTGTTTCCTGGGTGGCTTCCTTGTAAGGTTTCTTTAGCCCTGCAACGGGGGAAAAATTCTGTTATTGCATCGAATGATAAAGCACTCTAGTGTTGATGTCTCTACCCGCAGGGAGGTTCCCTGTGCATCTGCATAGTTTGCATTTTCTTTGTTGTGACGTTCAGATACAGGAACTATGCGTGACCTGCAATTATGTGCATAGGACGCCATCCCCACTGTTTCGGCAATGTCAGCATTGGGCCAATGCCCATGTACTGTCCAAGAGGAAGGGCCAAAAGAGCGGCAAACAATGGAAGTCGACCGAGTGTTGGCGATGCAGAACGCACATAGGCACAGCAGTGAACGTTGTGGAGTGGTGACAGCTGTCTGTCTCACAGCAGCACAGGCGTTGCTTGCACGCTTTTCGGCCAAATCCAGGGAGGGAACGAATGTAATGCTTCGAGTGTCAACGGCGATGAATGTGTGTCTTCTGGCGATGGTCTTGCTAGTTAGTGAATTGGCAACATTGATTCTGTGTCTGCATTCATGGTTTGGTGGTGCTTCATCTGGGGTTTCGCTGGCAGCAGTCGTGATGATAGGGCATACTTTGCCTGTGCTTTTCAAGGCATGTGCGACAAGGCATTTCCGCATCACAAGGGCGACCATATTGTCAGCAGCGACGCGGCAATTTGGAGCAGCCATCTTCCCTCTGTTGTCCAATGAATGGGCACTGAAAGCCGTTTTGGCTGAGTACAAAACCACGAGCCAAGCCAAGACGGTGTCTGGGCCACCCAGGCAGGTCCATCGTTGGGATCCAATCCTGGAGCCAAAGCGCCTCTTAGTTGCTGTGTACAGTCTGGTGACAAATGACATTCCAGAACTGTTGCAGCTTGTGATGGAAGATGTGAGGAGCAGCGGACAGATCCACAGCATCTGGTCCTGGATTCAGCCCTGGAAAATAGCTGCTGTGTTGAGGAAAAGATACAAGAGGCGGATGAGGATATGGAGGCATTCGGATTGGCACCCATCGAACGTGAGGTCAAGACATGGGCTGTCAAGCACATGGTGGATGCTTCGCAGGATCGAGGGAAAACAGTGTGACAACAACCTCAATGACAGTATTGAGAAGAGCTTGCTGTTTGCTCCATTCGATTGCCAAGTGCCAAGCTGGCAGTTATCTGGCCTAACCGTGAGGACACCGACTTGGCTGACACAAGAAAGCTACATATCAGACTACTGGGGAATGGTTATGAGGGAATTGGCAGGAAAGGAGACATTCATCAAGGACCTGAAGGACGGTTCAAAGGACTGGGCGGGTTTGACAGATGGTGGAAGTAATTGGGATCTGGAGGACCCTGCAGATGTGTCTGAGGAAGAGGCGGGATTAATATGGAGGGAACTGCAGGTCAGGCATGACATCAAGTCAATCGTTGAAAGGGTGAGCAACTGTGTCCGGCTATGGAACCCCGCAACCTTCATCTCAAAGGCTGCAGTGCATGGGGCAATGAAAACCACAGGTGCGTTGTGTGCCCTGTCGATGTCCCAGGCACTGTTCGATCATCTCATGGATGCAATGGACGGAGCTGACTCCGACCCCGATTACACCGATGCATTCATTTGGATGAACGCCCTTTCACTGATCCCCGCAAGGCTGCACATGAAGAGCTGTGCAGGATCAGGTTTGGTCAGGGAGCACTTCATGTCTGCAAGAGGTAGGAATTTGTACAGGAAGTGGCTGAGGGAAGTGAACGACAGGCCCACAACCTACCGGACACAGAGGGCAGTCTCTATCATGCAGTCCACCTTGGCAGGAGGCCCAGAATGGAAGGAGGGTGTTGGGGATGAGCTGTCCAACCTGAGCTTGGAATGGTGGGGCCGAAGGTCGTTGCAGGTTGAGAGGGAAGGCGTGGGGGAGAATGGAATACTGGAACAGATTATATTGCTGACCGCCATGGACGTGGTCGGAGAGGCGCTGGAATCTGCAGTGAGGAAACGGACTGGCACAGGTGCAACGTATCAGCTCGGCAGTGGGGCGCTGCTGGCGGCGCAGATGAAACAAGCATATGCCCTCCTATACCTCAACATGGACCTTCCGTCAAGCATGAGTGCCATTGACCTCACCCTGATCCTGTACCACATTCTCTTCCTGGTGGTGCACGTTGATGAGGAGTTCGACACACCGAATGCGATTACAAACAGGAGAACGTACAAAAGCGACAGTGGCACAAGGGACGAAGTGGCTGCCAGTGTCTTCCTCAAAGAGGCAAGGAATTGGCTGAAGGTGCCATGTCCAATTCCTGTGTGGACAGAGAGCCCAGGAGAGTGGCGGCCATGGAGACTCTACAGATCGCCGCTAGATGAGATTGCTGCTGTGTATAAGATCCCCAACCCTGGTGTTGTGTCCCTCTGGGAGCCCTACAAACTACCAGGCATGCATTGTGACACACTGTTGGGCTTTCTTGACCATGTGCAGCAGCAAAGAAGCTGCAGAGGCGGGGAGGCACCTGACAGCGGCAGAGGCCGGGCTGGTGAGTGCGCGGCAGACAGGAAAAGCGTGCGTGAGTTGTGGAGGGAGGCTGGAAGACGACGCGGGGAGCCAGAGCAGACGAAGGTGACGTTGAAAGTCAAGGTGCGAAACGCATTTTCAACCAGCACGTCGTGCACAGTGCCAGACACATTCCCGGCCACAAGGGACACATATCGTTCGTACGCCCACCTGTCGTACGAGATATTGACTAATTCTGTGATGCAAAGAGAAGTTAAAGCGGCCAACGCTGCTGAAGGTGAGGCAGAGAAGTCGTTGGTAATCCCGTCGCAACATGAGCTGGAGGTCATGAAGGGTCAGAGTCTGATTCCTGGTGAAGAAGGATGGAAGCGGAGGTCGCTCGAGGAGAGTCTCCTCAAACTCGGCGAAGTAGGGCTGGGCAATGAGGCTCTGGAACGCGATGATGCACAAAAATCGATCGAAACAATGGTCAAATTCCTGGAGTCTTCTGGTGTGTCGTTGTACCTTGTCGCGGAGAGTATTGTGGGGAATTTTCTTGAGTTTTCGGGAAGCAAATCTTGGGCAGGGAAGAAGGCGGGGGAGGATTCCAACAACTATGAGCAGGTGGCGCAATTAGAGTTGAGGATAGCGAATCACACTTCGCTTCGAGACTGGGCCAGAGACTTATCTTTCAGAACTGGGTTCGAGAGAAAGCAGGCAAGGATGGAAATGACAGGGGCGGTGCTGAATGCAAGCCAAGGAATTACCCTGGATAACATTTCGAAAGGCTGCAAATTTTCGCTCACGGCCGATTGTCACACAGGCGGGTGGCGAACGACAGGATGGAAGTACGAATAGCCACCGAGCACTTCGTCAGAAAAGGACAACTGTCTTGAATGTCCGAGTGTGGTTTGGGCATCCAATTTGCATGTATCAATATGTCGATTGCTGTTTTGCGGTCCACATGGAGCGGATGAAGGAGATCCCTTGAATCAACAACAGGGTTGGAATATCCAAGGACGTCTCTGCATTCCCACCAGATTGAGTTGGTTGTGAGCAGACGTATTTACCCATGTGGTGTCCTAGTTTCTCCACTGTCAAGTGTTTGGTCATGTAGCATTCATGACGTTCTTTTAATTACGAATTGTAGTGTTCAAGTTCTTCTTTAAGCCAGCACAGTCGCTGACGCCGCTGTGATGACATGGCATGAAATCCGCGTTGATCAGTAGATGGGCATTGTGCAACGTTCATTCGTTTTACAACGAAGGTATGTACAGACTAAAAGGAAAAGCAGCTTTGCCGCAATGTTATGGAAACACCCAAAGTGCTCCCACATAATGTTGTCGGTGCTTCTTGTCCCCTTAAATGAGGCGCTGTGGCAGATATTGCTCCATCTGAGCGACAGCCTTTCCCACGCCCTCATATACGAATTTGTATGGCCCATGAAGGAGCATCTCAAAAATCCAGAACCGCGTCCTTGCACCACTGGCACGATCCGCAGCGCCAACAGGGAAGCATAGAGCCCATCATCAATGTACAACATCCACACGATGGCATCTGATGCAGCAACAATGACAAACGCAACAATACAACTGTTTGCCTTGCCCTCCACGCTGGCAGCCCTTGCTCGTCTAGACTTCACCTGCAGACGATTCAACGATCATTTTGTGACGCTCTCGCCCCTTCCGCTGCGTCTTCCGCAGCATCATCTGGCCCTTCTCCCTAGAAGCCGCAGGACACGTCTTACTTGGGCTGCAGCATGGCTGAACTCCTTCCAGACGCGCCCCGCAATCGTCGACGCCCTCGTGAGGGTTGCCGTTGCGGCGACGAGAGGCTCTGCAGATAACACGCCGCGTTGCCCAGCCAGTGGCCGACGACGTTTGGGACTGGCAAACGCAGCATCCTGGGAGCGGACAGGCCACTGGTCGGGGCCAACGTAGTCTGAGCCTCCCACTCAAGCCACCTCGACAGGGCCAACGAGGAAGTGATGGCCAAAAGAGGAGTCCACCTGCTCAAGGTAGGGGGAACAAGGGGAGGGAAATAGCCCAAGTTGCCAAGCGGGAAAGTACCCCAGACTGCCGTGGGAGGCGATGCTCTTTGCAAGGTTGGGGGCGACCCTTGGGTGACTCTTGGGTCGGTCGCGAAGGTCAATGCAACGATTGCTTGCGAACGCCGACTGGGCAAGTGGCGTGAACCCAGCGTGGCCTTTACTCTCTTTGAGCGTCCCTATGCGACGACCCCGGGTTGGAATCAGTTTGGTGGGCTAGGGGGTGAGAACATGCCTTGCGTAAAAGTGAACTGGGATCCTTGTCGACTGACGGCTCGCAGGCCGGTCGAATTCATATATTTGAAGGCTCGCCTCGGATTTTGAGACAGAAAGCCGGAGATAGCAATGGTCGCCTGATCGGCAAGCGGGGGCATCAGCTCCATGCTCAGCCGCTTACGTGGGGCCTCTCCCACGAAGGTGCAAACCGCCTTGGGGGAACTGGGTCTGCTTCACAGCAACTCTACGCTCTCCGTGGAACAGTTTCGGTCCAGGCCTCTCAGAGTACAGGCACAAGCTTGCGCCCGCACGACCGTGATGTGTGGAAGAGCCCCAAGCCCGCACCCATCCACCTTCTCCTCGGAACAGCTCGAGGCCTTTACCTGGTTCAAGAATTCAGGCTGCACGGTTTAGAGCTCTGCAGCTCTGCACAGCACTGCTCTGGACGGTAGCCCATTCCCGCAGCACAGTTCCCACTGCCCGCGCCGCGCGCTCCCTCCCCCCCCCCCACCCCCCCCTTCAACCGCTTTTGCCTCGGATTCCCACCCACCATATTGGGTTGCATGATCACCAAACAGGAAGGCCGCGCTGAAGGCATGGGTATGGGGGGCCCAGACTGCCTCCTACCCTGCCGCCTTCGGCACCTCGGACAGCCGGAGAATATTGCGCTGCAGGAAAACGCGCTGGTCGCCTCTCACTGCCTGTGCGTGCATCGCTGCAGGTTCCTTCCAACATGCGCGGCTTCCCTTTGGCGCTGCTTGCTGCGGTGCTGTCGCCAGCCTGTCAACAGTTCGCGGGCGCCGCATTGGAATGGCAGTCGCCGCGCCCGTCGCCGGCGAATTTCATTGCAGGTGACCAGGGCTGGTCGGCGGGGTGGTGTGGAGGCAGAGGGGAGCCCTTGCATGAGTGCGCTGCCCCACTTGGAATTTTATTTCAACGCAGATGCTAGGCAGTGTTGACAGACTACTGAGTACAGTGCAGTGCAACAACAATGTGGCCAGGAACGGAGGCAGCCAAACGCAATTTGGTGCAAAACGCACAGATGCACACAAGTCAAATTAGCGTTATCCCCGTTCCGATTCTTTTCATGGTGGTGTCAAGCGCGTTCACGATATCTCTCTCCATTATCTGTACCGTACAGACTGTACGCACCAGTGACTGGATGCAATGTGGACGTTGATTTGATACCGACAGTTCAAGAGGTATAACCATGCTTGTACTCATTGTGCCACAGGTCCTCAAGTGTGCCCAGCACATGGTGAATGCGATCCTGAAGATTCGCTTGAACAACAGGTGGGAGCCAGCAGCAACAATGGGGCATGTGTTCCATGCCATCGCAGCAATAAAATACACTGCGTACTTTGGGGGCTACTGTTTGCACCAGCTTTTCTTGTCCCCATGGCATTGCTCTCCCTGCATGCAGCTCTTTTGCAATGTTAAATGCATTTCGAGTTGCTCAAGGAAACCAACATGAATCGAAGGGCTAAGAATTTTGACCCAACAGACGATGTATATTGCAAGATATGGCGCGGCGGAGCTGGGCCGCATCGCACTGTGCACCACCGTTTCGTTCGTCTTACACTACATCCAAGCTCTGTGGCGACTGCAAATTTTGAACCGAAAAGTGCCAACAGCAGGATATGCTGTGTCTGACTTGTCGTATTCGCTCACCCAGTGCTTTCCACAGAGTGCCATCACCACCGGACTCGCCCCCTACGATGGCAGTGGCTGGATAGACAATGAAGTGTCTACCGCGGAGGCGGCCATCGAAGCGAGTCAAATTTCAGGAGCAGGCGGCGACTACTGGGCTGCGAAAGCAGAAGTACAACGCACAGTCGTGTTGGGGCTGATTATGTCCATCATGCAGGTTTTGCTCACCCGCTATTCGAGCAAAGTGTCTCGAGGGGAGAACGCACTGTATCGGCTCTCTGGGGCTTCCAACGTCTTTCTTTTCGCTTCAGCCCTACTGGCTGGCGAGGCCGCCGTGCTTCTCGGAAGTTTGAAGTCGTGGTTCGGCGGCCACTATCCTGCGTTGGCTGTCGGAGCAGTTGTGATGATGGGACAGACGCTGCACGAATTCCTGAGGGCCGGCAAACTGGTGATGATTTTGATGAGCAAGGGTGCCGTCATAGCTGGTGGCTCATCGCAGTTTGTTGCTGGTTTGAGCCCCCTGCTGTGCAATCAATGGGGCGTCAGGGCTGTGCTTTCTGAGTACATGGTCATGAGCCAAGCTCACCAGGTGAGCGGTCCCAGTCGGGAGGCAAGTCGTTTTGATCCCATCCTGGAGGTGTGGAGAATAGCGAGGCATTTAGGGAAGCTCCTGACTCAGGACACACCCGCGTGGCTGTACCTGGCCATAAAGGACTGCCTGGAAACTGTGGAGGGATGCAGTAAGTGGAGGGTTGTGAAGATGTGGAGGGCGTTGAGAGTTATGAAAAAGCGGTATGAGAGGCGGCGAAGGATTTGGCGGCATTCAGATGCGCACCCCTCCAAAATCAGATCCACGTCTACGCTGCCCACAACGACTTGGATTCTGGAGAGCATCAAGGGGAGGAAGCCAGAGGGAACCCTTAATGACCAGGTTAGCAAGAATGCTATCGTGGCCCCCATTGGGCTCCACGTCCCGACCTGGCAGCTTTCAGGTGTGAATGTGAGGTCGCCTACTTGGGTGGTAACCGAGGGCTACCCGGAAGACTACTGGGGAATGGTCATGCGGGAATTGTCGGGGAAGCAGGGGTTCATCTCCAGTCTGAGGGAAGGGAACAGACACTGGGCGGGTTTGAATGACACTGGGCGGGAATGGGAACTCGGGGACGGCGCCGAGGTGTCTGATGACGAGGCCGAGTTGGTGTGGAAAGAATTGCAGCTTCGCCACGATGTCAAATCCCTTGTCGAGAGAGCCAGCAACCTGCTCAGGTTCGTGAATCCCATCACGCTTGTCACGTCGCCTGCGATCCACGTTGCCACGAAACTATCGGGTGGCCTGTGCGCCCTGTCCATGTCGCAGGACATGTTCAATAATCTGATGGAGAAGATGCAGGCCATGGAGCAAGACCCCAAGTACACAAGCGAGTTCATCTGGCTTAATGCGCTGTCGCTCATTTCCACCAGGCTACACATGAGAAGCAGCGTCGGAGGCGGGATTGTCAGAGAGGAAATGCTGTCCCCGAGTGGCAAGAAGAAGTACCTGCAGTGGGTGAAGCAGGTGAGCGACAGGCCGACGACTTACCGCACACACAGAGCCATAGGGATCATGCGCGACACGTTGTCAGGGACCCCGGAGTGGAAGGAGGGCAGCGGCGATGAGCAGTCAAACATCAACTTGGAATGGTGGGGCAGGAGGGCACTGAGGATCGAGGACGAGGGCGTGGGAGACAACGGAATACTGCAGCAGCTGGTGGTCGAGGTGGCGATAGAGGCTGTGGCGGAAGCGCTGGAGGTCGCCGTGCAGAACCGTGCGAACACCGGGGCGCTGATCAAGTTTGACTCTGGGCCGCTGCTGGCCCTGCAAATGAAGCAGGCCTACAGCCTGCTCTATCTCAACATGGACCTGCCCCCGGCGACCAGCGCCATTGACTTGACGCTGACCCTGTACCACGTGTTGTTCCTGGTGACCCACGTAGGAGAAGATTTTGAAGCGCCGAACGCCATCACGGAAAGGAAATTTTTTGGCGCGACGAAAAAGGACGAAGCGGCGGTCGTTCCGAACAACGTCTTCGTCGGCGAGGCGAGAAACTGGCTGAAGGTGCCGTGCCCGATTCCGGTGTGGACGGAGAGCCCGGGCGAGTGGAGGCCATGGCGACTGTACCGGTCGCCGGTGGACGAGGTGGCCGCCGTGCAGAAGATACCAAACCCAGGGTTCATGTCATTTTGGCAGCCCTACAAGTACCCGGGGATGCACTGCGACGCACTCCTGGACTTTCGAAAGCTGGCGCAGCCTCCCAAGGCAGACGACAGCGACACGGCGGGGGATCAGGGCAACGAAGGACGCAGGGAAGAAGACAAGAAGAAAGACGACAGCAGCAGGACAGTGCGCGACATCTGGAAGCAGATCTGCAAGGCGAAGGATCAGTCTGATGAGCGTCTGACGGTGAGAGTAAGGGATACTGCAGGGTCGTCTGCGGATAGGTACAATGTGCCCATCGACTTCCCCATAACCAGAGACACCTATCAAACGAGCACGCACATGGCATACGAGCTCCTGTCGAATTCAGTCATGCAAAGGACGGTGGCAGAGACCAAGGAGGGCACGGTCGAGATGGTTCAGGCGCTGGTGGTGCCCTCACAGAAGGAACTGGAGAGCCTGGACGGGCGCAACCTGCAGCCTGGACAAGAGGAGTGGCGAGAGCGATGTCTGGAGGAGAGCCTCCTGAAACTCTGCGATGTCGGTCAAGGCAATGCGGCGCTGGAGCGGGGCAATGCCCGGGACTCGGTACAGAAAATGGTCGAATTTGTGGAGTCGTCGGGTGTGTCTGTTTTCCTGATTGCGGAGAGCGTGGTAGGAAACTTTCTTCAGCTGTCCGGATCTGTGGGTTGGAAGGGGAGGCAGTCTGGGGACGGCAAGACTTTCGAGGAACTGCTGCACTTGGGCACTGCGGTGCGCAACAGCCATGTTCTGAGGGACTGGGCGCGCGATTTGTCATTCAGGACGGGGCTTGATGCCCAACAGATGAGGGCCGAGGTGGCGCGGATGATGCCGAGCGTGACGCGGGGCATGACGCTGGAAAACATCAGAACGAGAAACGGATACAAGTCCGTTGGCGAATGTGAGGCGGGCGGGTGGACAGTGGAGGGCTGGAGATACGAGTAGGGAACACGCTTCCATGTTCAGTTTCCGGCCATTTCTAGGCGCCGAAACTTGTACAGTTTGTGCTGCATCGTCGCATTTCCGGCTATGCTTGAGATGGAGGGAATGCTCTCATGGCTGTGCATGATAGGAGGTGATTGATGAGATGAGGGATCGAAGCGTTGCTTGAACGTGGGGATTCGCTGCGCAAGCGATGAGCGACGACAAGCTGGTTGACTTGCTTTTTAGTGCGCGTCTCTGTGACGATTTGGGGACAGTTTCTGCGGATGCAATTTCAAAGTGAACATATTGTCAATGATCATTGGACCGCGCCTGTATCAGCATCCAGCTTGAGTGTGCAAGGTGTTGAGCATTTGTGTAATTTGACTTGTTGCTGCTGTCCGTTGTCTGATTGAAGTCCGGCGCTGTGTTGCATGGTCTGTTCCCACTATCCGTTGGCACTTTCTCCAAATTTGCTTGGAATGGAGCTAAATAGGAATGTTTCAACATTGTTGCTAATGGCGACATCTGGTTATGTCACATGTGCGGTTACTCGAACAACGGCCAAGGGTTGCGGGCATCAGCTTCTTGTAATGCAGCCATTCTTGCAGGTCATAACATTGGAATGCCCTATAAGAATGGTGAGCTCGGAACACCTTCCCTCCGCTCCCCTGCCAGCCCGCCAACGTTTCGGGGCTTGACTCGACGAGTCAAGCCCAGAGCAAAGCACCAACCATTGGGAGGATGTTTGCGCTTTTTTGGATTCACCTTTATCCATGAGCCTAGCCACTCAATGCACGGCATATAATTGGAAAAGGATGAATGCTTGGTGACATTACACTTAAAAATCGTGGGAAAAATGCAACAGAGACAGCCGACAAACCTGACGGAGAGCAAAAGGAACGAAATGTACGTATGTATGGCCCTTTGCCATCGAGACAAAAGTGTCCAGAATGTTCTGTTTCCTAAAATGGAGCAGGTCTAGGGTAGTCCATCCGGTTTTGCACGCATCAAGCCTCGAACCTCTGCCTCCGACAATTACTGATATGTGGAAATCCGTTGCAATTACTGATTGGTAAACCGATGATTAAGTGGTGGCATATGAGAACCCTGTTTCGAGGAATGCCATCAGCAATATCTTGGAATGGCTGTCATCTTTTCTCGATGTTTCACGAGCAAATTTCCAGTTCTCATGACTGGAGGTCTGTGGCTGAATTCTGATGTGCAGTGAAACTCAATGAGAGAAGTGAATACAGCTTACAAGCTCTTTAATTAAAAAGCCAGTTTAAAGAGATGAACATCTGACACACTAAGACAGCCGCAACTACCATGTTGTGCAAGCACCTGGTCATGTGCTGGCTGACTGGTGCACACATTAACCTCATTGATATGGCGGAAAGACGGCTGGCCAGCAATCAGCTTCAATCTTACTAATTTTGTGATCGTAAGTTTGTGCTATTAAAGTTGGCGCTCTGGGTCGGTGCGTTGAGTCGATGCCATAGGTTGGTGCTCTGGGCTAGCGTGACGTGCGTGTGTGAAGTGTGAGTTCTGGTGGACGAAAAAAGAGGCATGTTCTGGTAATTAAAAGGAGCCCAAGACTTGTTCGTGGCTTCTCTTGGTTGGGTTGTAAGACAAGTTGAGTCTTGGCTGCTTGTCCGACTATGCACGGCGAGTGCGTGCGAGCACCATGTGCACAAAGGTTGCCACAGAGGTCGAGCCAAAACGGTTTGACTTGTGCTGTATTGTGGCCCATTGCTGTGCGCAGTCGAGTGTGACGAGTGGGATCTCGAGCCGGGATGGCTATGGAATTTTGACAGGCTTCATATCAGGCCAGGTCATGGCAGAAGTTGGAAAGAATCAACCGTCGCAGCAAACACCGACTGGCAAAAAGTTGCCGAGCAAAGCCACCGCCACCATCGCGCACATAGAAAATGATTTTCGTATTCACAACTTCAAATCCGCGAATGTGAAATTGGTGGGCTCTTCGGTTCTTGGACTTGCGTTGATACGACAGTGACTGGCCTATGATCATAGACCGTCCATCATGTTGGACGGATGGGTGTCTTAGTATGACGGAACATGCCTGTCAGTGATCTCTCTGTAACTCTGTTCCCTCAGCTGTTTCTTCAAACCTGTGGCCATGCCCGCCTCGCACAGTCACGCTGACCAAGGCAAGCAGAGTCGCTGTCTGTCGGTTGCCATGTTTGAAGCCTACTGTCCCCAGTCAGGGGGCGGTGACCCCTGACTGGGGACAGTAGGCTTCAAACATGGCAACCGTTTGCAGTGGAGCACAGGGACAACAGGAGTTCTGTCCCTTGATGATGGTTTTTTGACATGCGGTGCTATTCGGATAGCCGAATAGCACTGCCGGGAGAATGGCACTCACCAGTAAAGATGCTCTTGTATCCAGTCCGTTCATCACCATCCTTAGTTCAGTTCCTATTGTCTCATCACATCTTGATGCGTCGAACTATTAATAACACTGGATGAGTTCTGGTTACAAGCAAGAACTGCTCGATCAGTTATGGTTACAACAACCCCTGAGCATACCATGGCATGCTATGGTATGCTATAAACGTGCGAGAGACGCTGGCCAGCGTCTCTCTTTGCGTTCTCAGAACGGTTGTGGTTAAGGGACGCGCCTGTCCGCGATCTCTCCGTAATTCTGTTCCCTCGGCTGTGCCTCCAAGCCCATGGCCACGCTTGCCCACCCCGAACCAAGAGTACCAACGTGTCGTCGCATCAGGTTACGACCCCTTGCCTCCCTCCAACCAACACACGAGGACCTATTCGGATCCACAGCCGCCAGGACGGGTGCCCACTCCTTCACATCTCCGGCATCTCGAGGCGGGCCCCGCGTGGACGCGGCCACGCCCGCTGCACGTCCCGCGGGCCGCCCCAGCGCCTGCCCACAACCCCAGCGCGCCGACACGCGCACGCTTGCCCCTCCCTCCACCCCCCCTTGGCGCGTGGCGGCATGGCATCCCCCGTGGTGGTGAACGTGGGCGAGTCCGAGACGACCCCTTTGTCCTACGGGGAGGGCTCGACGCCGCCCGATGCGCCGGCGGCCGCCCAAGAGGAGGCCAAGGAGGGAATCTGCGCACGGCCGCTTACGACGATCCCGAGCGCGGCGTTGGGCTTAGGATCGATCGTGGTGCTGGTTTTGGGGCTGGCTTCGTATGTCGCCGGATATGGGATGCTGCTGACTGCGGGGATCATAGGCCTGGCGGGTTGCACGGGCGTGGCGGTGTACCTGGCGTGGACGGGCGGCATGCGGCACCAGCTGAACCGGTTCAAGGCGGAGAACAAGCGGCTGACGCGGACGTCGACGATGCTGGAGGGCAGCGTGAACAAGCTGGAGGTGACCAACCAGAAGATCGCGGTCCACGTGGACAAGCTGGAGGACTCGGTGGACGAGCTGCAGGGCGTGAGCGAGTCGCTGATGGCGGACATGGCGGGCTTCGGGGACCTGCGGACTGCGATGGAGGAGTGCGCAAAGGAGTCCGGCAAGGACATGAAGGAGATGCTGGGGGACATCAACGGGATGTATGGCCGGATGCACGACCTGGCGCTGCAGGAGGAGAAAGCCCTGCTGAAACGCGTCGCCCAGGTGAGGGCAGGTTGCGGGCGGCGGGGTGAGATCGAGCGCGCCTCGGGGTTGGCGAATTTTTAAACGAGTTGTTGGGTGGGGGTTGGCCGGCTCCGCGGTCCCTGGCCAGGCGGCCATTTGGTCCAATGGGATCTTCTCTCACCGCGGCATGGGCACGCGGGGGCAGGGCAGGGGGCCCGCGTGGGGACGGGGCAGCGGGCGCGGGACGAACGCGAGAGCGCGGGGGGTGGGCGATGATTTGCCGGCCGGGCTGTGCTGCCGTGGCGGCGAAGGGGGCATTGGGGTTGGCCGGATCTTCTGCGGGTCCCCTGGGGGGGGCGCGGCGCCGAGGTGGAGGGATGGGCGATGCCATGTCGCTTTCTGGGGGCGGAAAGTTCACCGTCCGGCCGGGTGGTCAGGGGGGAAACGCCAGGATGGCGAACATGCCGCGCGGTGGGCCTGCCGATTGGGGAAGAGTCGGCGGGGTGGCCCTTCCCTGCGTTCCGGGGGGCGCTGGCGACCTTGTGGGTCCAGCGAAAGGCAAACGGACTTTGTGGGGAACCAGAAACTGGAGGAACGTATCCAGCCACGAGGTTGCACCAGGGCCTGACGGTGCGCTCATCGCGAGAACTGCAGTCGGGATCTGGCGTCGAGTGTTGCAGGATATGGAAAGAGGTCACAGACGGCCGTTTCGATGCTCGAAACGGCTCCTGCGCAGCCGGGTGACGGCGATATGAATCGGTGCAGAAGCGGTGCGCTGTAGCTGAAAGCAGCCGTTGATCCGGGGTCGAATGTTGATGCGACTTTTCTGTGCGATTGCGGTTGCAGGACTTGGAGTTTATGGACCGCGACGAGAAGATGTCCAAGGTCGAGTTTCAGCGGTTCTTGCAGCGCATACCCGCTCAGTACAAAAAGAGATTTGACAATATGGGTCTCACTTTTGATGCCATTGCGGGCGAGGACCAAGGAATTGATTTCAGAGAGATGGGTCAACTCATCGACAAGCTGCTTGTCGAAACTAGTGACAAGATATCCCAGCAGGCCAAACAGTGAGCGCTCCTGCCTGCAGCCTGGCCAACTTGTGGGTTGCTCCCTGCTGGTGTCACCCTGAACCATGTGCAGCGGGCCCCCAGAGGAGTGCAACAATGCAGAATGCACTTGCTGGGATTATCCCCCATGGGTATGGTGTTGCAGCCGACTGTCATTTGAGCTGTTTGCAGTCTGGGGGCCTGCGCCGGTCTGACTGGCCCCAAAACTGCCAGAGGGCATTGGATCCCATGTAGTGAGTCAGGGGGACCTTGGCGTTGGCGATCAGGTTGTGAGGAGGGTGGGTGTGACACACGAGGGTGTCTGCTGTCTGCAAAGCCCAGTGGAGTGCAGAGGGTTTTTGTGTTGAAATTGAAGATTCAAACCGTTTTGTGTGGTGCACCACTGTGTGCGCCTGTGTGCTCCCAAGGTAATGCAGTGGGCAGTGAACATGGGGAAGAATGTGCCAACGTACATACATGCTGTCAATCCCTTGCTTGAGGGAGCTATTGTATGCTGCTGTTCCACTCTGTGAATAGCTTCTGGTCTTGTGATGTGATGTCTGTCGGTTCGGTTCTGCATCCAAACAGCTGGCAGAGTGTTTACATTCAGAGGCAAAGGCCCTTATCGTGCGTCCAAGATGGAATTCTGGGAAGTGGCTCCCCGTGCCCAGCACAACATGTCATGCCGAGGGAGAAGATCAGAAGATGCAAGGAGCAAAAACGCAATGAACGAATCCGATGATGGTGAGTGTAGGATGAGTAGCTGCGCTGGGGTGGCCCTAGAGAAGGTCCACGCTGCCCAGTGGATGGTTCTCAATATCGCGGTAGCATACAGGCAGCTGGCGCCTGACAAGAGCCCTTCATGCGGGCCATCATCACTGCACCAGAGTGGAAATCATCAATGCATTAGCCACAGTCAAGCGCCGACATCGAGCCAAACTGCACCGTTTCTATTACTGTTTGGCAAGTCTCCTTGAAATGGTGTGCGATGCAGTGATTTTGATGCCTCCGATAGCTGTGTCAGGTGTCCCCTCCATCCACCCTCACCGTGCCTCGATACGCGCCATGTGTCATCAGTGACACTGCCATCCCAACAACATCAACACCACAACCACAGCAACATCACAACCGCAGACCGTAGCATGTTACCACACAAATGTGCAACGCTCCCGGACTCCACGCCATCTGGGCGACCTCGAGCGCTTGTCATTGAATGTCCTGCACTGGACTTGGGCGCTTGGGAACGCGGATGGCGTGAGACAGCAGCAGCTGCAGCACCGTGTTGTTTTCTTTCTGTCACGTAACGGCGGACTGCAACGGAACAAATTAACAGGGAATCTAACTTGCTGCCGAATGCAACGGACCGTGGGTGCAAGCACGGCACAGTGAACGATACAAATGACGATAAGCAAGGGGCAGGGAGAGGCCCGACACCAAACAGCGTTATGCGCGGGTGACCCAACACATCGGGCACCACATGGCCCTATGGGGATGCGCACTGTGTATGAACAGGCCGCGACACATTATCAGCGCCGCCTAGCAGTCTATCTTCCTGGCTGCACTCGTCGCATAATAGCCAGGCACTGCCCATTTACTCTCGTGCATGCCAACGAGTTGCACTTCTGCAGGAGAAGGAGTAAATGCTGGGGTGTCTCTGATTCGCTTGGCTGCTGGGGCCGATGCATTTTGTATGTTGTCATGACGTGGGGTTGGTGTTCTGTGAACAACCCAGGGGGACACCGTCTCTTGACAAGCATCCTGATGTCCTTGTCGACCGCATCCAAACTGGCATTGTTCATGCAAGCGCAGTTGACACTCGTGCCCTGTCCAATGTGTCGTATCTTCACCCCGCCTTCACACATTCACCGATTGATTCTCGTCGTTTCAAACAGGTACCAGTCCAATAAACAAATTTGATGGCAAGTGGACATTCGACAGGGGAGTGTCGCCTCTGGGTCGCACATCTCTGAAGCGTACCCATGTGCTGTACTTGGGGGATGTACACTGGCGTGTCCGCGGTGCCCTTAACAAACTCTCAAATTTGGCGCCAGAAAGGCGCCATAAACCCTTGAATTACACGTCAATTGCCTTGACAATCCACGAAAGAACATCAAGCACATTGAGCTACAAGCACCTCACATCGGAGATCCACCAAACCAGCGCACCCAGCACATTGGAATACACACACAGCCAACGTTCAAAGACAACAGGCCGCCAGGGCAATGAAGTGACGGCTACACAGCCAAACCAAAGATAATTATCCCTGCAAAAACTCGCTGTTGAAGGTGGCTACAGCACTCCAGGAGCACCCCTTTAAAGAAAAAACACACAATTGCTCCTTTTACCAACGAATGAACGGCCACCAACTCACGTTAAGTTGCCCACATCCCAACAATGATTGCCTCATTTCCTCACCTTATTTGCAGTAGAACACACAACAATCAACTACATGGCGATTCCCGTAGCCAACCCTTATCCTTCCAGATGAAGGGCAAACAAGATTAGGCACTGTTTGCTGCCAATACAGCCAGGCAAACTTGGGTCTGGATAACCGCCTCAAAAGGCCTGAACGTATAACGTGAAGACTCCTGTGTCTTCAGACAAACCACTTTCCCAATAGGAGGGCAAAACAAAGCGCCCAGTTGATCCTTGCTGCTTGGCTGCAATGCAAAATTCTTGCTGCGCTCTTGCCCATAAATGCCACAATGTTGATCACCATCTGCAGATCTTCGTTCAGCTCGATGGGGCAGCAGCTGCTGGTGACCCTGGCTTGTTTGCCCTGCTTGCCACCTGTTCATCGTTCTCAGCGATCAACCTGTCGATGAGTCTGCCCATTTCCTTGTAGTCGATTCCTTTGTCAGCTCCTGCGATGCTAGCAAAAGTGAGGTCCAGCTCCTCAAACCTCTTCTTGAATTGGGCAGGTATACGTTGCAGAAATCTCTGAAACTCCTCCTTGGACATCTTCTCGTCGCGGTCCATGAATTCCAAGTCCTGCAGTCGTAACATTCGAACATCAACTTCGTCAAAGCGTTAGCTACATCGGCAGATGTACATCCACCGTTATGTGCAAATCTACAGCCTTTGCACCCGCCAGACAGCGCCACGCACGGCCCTGTGCATGTGACGACGTTCGCAGCCAGCAACGAGCGCGCAGGGCATTCCAGACACCGCCCCATTCAAGGACAAGGAGGATCCCAAAAGTAGGAGTTGGGTCGTCCGACGACCCCAAACTCGCATCCGCGTCTCTCCCTCTCCAATGCCCTGGGCCTGGGAAGCTGGCTTTGGGACCGCACACGGCTGCTCCCCCTAAAAATTCAACATTCCGTTGAGGATCCATGAACTGACAGAAAACATTGCCCCCACCTTTCATCCCTGAACAGGGAACCATGCTGCAAATCGAGCTCAGACAACTCAAACCGCCTCAGCACCAACCCGGGCCCCTCCACGCCCGCCGCCCCACCTGTGCCACCCTCTTGAGCAGCGCCTTCTCCTCCCTGGCATTCAGGTCCTGCATCCTGTCGTACATCCCGTTGATGCTCTCTAGAGTGTCGTCCAGGTCCTTGCCCGCCTCCTTGGCCAGCGCCTCCATCTCCACCCGCAGGTCGCCAAAACCCTCGATGTCTTCCTTCAGCTTCTCGCTCACGCCCTGCAGTTCGTCCACCGAGTCCTCCAGCTTGTCCACGTGCAGCGCGATCTTCTGGTTGGTCACCTCCAAATTATCCACATCCCCCCGCAGCGCCGCCGATGTTTTAGCCAGCCGGTCGTTCTGATGCTTGAATCTGGCCAGCTGGTGGCGCAGGCCGCCCGTGGCACACAGGTAGCCGGCGATCCCTGTGCTCCCGAGCAGCGCCACCGCCCCCGCCACGTACAGCGGCCCATCCCCCGCGGCCAGCGACACGAAGCCCAGGATCAGCACCACGACGGAGAACACGCCGATGACGGCGCTGGGGATCGTGGCCATCGGGTTGTGGCACATCCCCGGGTTGTCCTCGGCCGGCACCTCGGTCTCCAGCGCGCCAGGCGCCTTGGCCCCGGCCCCCCCCACTTGCACCACAACCGCATCCGAGGATGCCATCGCTTAAGCCCCAACTCGCCGCCGCTGATCGACCGCTCTTCCTCGACCACGCGCCCGGGGCGGGTGGAATTTCAGTGACCCTGAAAATCGGGGAACCCGGTGGGAATCGTCGTGTCTTCGGTGCGAACGGCCGACTGCCTCCCGGGGGGCTCCCGGACTTGGATGTCTCGTCCACCAGTTGCCGCTCTCCAGCGTTGGGCTTGGCGCAGCCCGACTCCGGGCTGGTCGCAGTGCCGTGGCCGCCCCGGGTGGCCGCCCGACCCAACAGAGCCGCGAGGCCGCGGGGGGACACGATCCGAAGGGTGGGTCAAGGGGGGAGGTGGTGCCTCACCCGAGGCTGACTGTGCCGGGGAGATTTCGTACCGTACGGGATCGAAGGGTCGACAACCGTAAATACGGCAACAAAATGCAGGAAACGGCAACATGTTAGAACAATGCTGTCATAAGCGCTGCTGCGTTAGTTATTGCAGCGTTTGATATCAACCGCCGTAAAATTCTTTCTGAAAATGCAACTGTGTTCAATTTTGTTGGTACCTTGACCAAGTTCTCTGACAGTCGCCTCGCGAGTCAAGAGTTGCAGCTGACGGCGAGCAAAGCAAATTGGATTCTGTGGACGTCACTTTTGCTGTGGATTCGAGCTGTTCCCGGCAAGCAACAACACAGTGGAACCGGGTTTTGTGCCGCTCAGTCATGGCTCGCAACCGCGCTTTTCAACAAGATTGCCACTTGGGGATTGAAAATCGAAAACTCGGCCGAATTTGCAATCGCAGCGTTTCCGGTGTGGCGTTGCCATGGACGAGATGGCCGCAAGCGCTAAGACTCCCACGAGGATATTAAAAGGAGATTGTGGTCGCCTCTTCGCACAAGAACCACAGGATCGCCAGAAAATGGCTGTATCGACACTGCCACGAGGATCATTTCCAGAGCCGCCTGTGCCTCTTTGTGAAAGGACGTCAACAGGTGTCTCCGCAAAATATAAGGAACATCGTTTCAGTTCAATGCAGCGTGTCAGAGGTGCACCGCACATGAACGCGGAAACATTTTTGGGCCTTTCTGCTGCAGTGCTTATCGCACGAGAACTCTGTCAATGCACAAGCCACGATGCACCGAGCAGGGCTTCCAGAATTCAAGCACTTCAATCAGTTTGTTCCACCCCAGGAGGCAAGCGGGGCCTAGATTTTCCCTGTTGAAAGCTCCTCACAACCCAATGGCAGCACACGGGTGCCATCGCAGAGCTGAATACTACCACCTCGACTCAACTACTGCCACATTCCAATATAATCCCTTCCGACCTGGACAACACGTCCCTCCTCGTTTCAAAGCAACCGACAGCCGCCCTTCCCCCCACACCCCCCTCTGCAATTCCTCGAATCACAGCTGCGTAAGAATTCGGGCATGCGATTCGCGCCGCTTGCCTCGCTATCAGTTGTGGGACCGCCATCAGCAAACGTGGGGCAAACGTATCATCAAGACGGCCCCGCGCAAAAAGAGGGGGCATGCAGAGGATCAAGAAAACCTCTGGACGCACTTGGGCGGTGCCGTTCTGGACAGGTAGCATCCCACTTCATGGCAACCGCCCATTCAACGCTGCGAGAAATACTCCTTTTTCAGCAGCACTTTCTCTGAAAGAAAGCGGCATTGTCATTGCTCTTTTCGAAGCCCATTGCAAGGACAATTGTGCCTTGTTCCAACAGGCCTTGTGCCATCAGTTGCATTTAAAACTAGATGGGATCCCCCCATTCCCGTGTCCCAGACAACAAACGTCCAATTGCAACACCGAGAGCATTTTCTCTGCCGACACAGCAGCACATTTCGCCACGGCGAATATTGGCAGAGTTGAGTAACATGCATTGAATAGCTAATAGCTGACGGAAATTGCGGCCATATGTAGAGGCGGTTCACAGCTCGCAGTGCCCAGCAACGCAGGGCGAGCATTCCCTCGCGCGCTTGGTGTGACCGTCTATCCAATCCTTGTGGAAGCGGAGGTCGATGTACTTGTCAGGTTTGTTGGCTGTGCCACACGAGGCCCCGCCCGCGTTGATGCCGATCACGTGGTCAAAGTTCTGGGAGGCCACCGGCTTGTCGTGCCGGTACAGCAGGACGATGGGAGCTCCGGAATCCACTGTGATGCAGAATTGCAAAAGTGGGTCAGGCGAAAACTTTCAGTTCGCAATAAAATCATCACCAGTCTGTTTCGGCCTTAACAGCCTCCCTCGTAACGACAGAACGGGCAATTTGGAATTGTTTTATTGCACATTTGGAGTCGTGCACAGTTGTTGAGAAGGTGTAATTGCGACGTACTGAGTGACAAAAGTGGACAAACATGAGAAACTGCAACCTTGCTCCTAAACGCACACATGCTACGAGGCCATTTTCACCACCACAAATGTTGCCACAAGTGTTCCTCATTGGGTAATTCAGCGATCAATACTCACCCACACACGACGCCGTCAGCTCCTCATTAATGGCGCACACCTGCCCGACTTCGACCGAACCGTCCCACAGAGAACTGCGGTTGCAGGCGGCCCCATCCAGAAACGTCTGCTTCTCTGAATTCAAGCCACTGAAGATTTCATCCCCAAGCAGAATCCTCGGCGCTCCCCACCCCACAGCAACCACCTCCTGGTTGCAGAACATACATCTTTGCACAGTGAACAGCACTGGCGTGAATTCGTCAACATCTGGCACACTTCATCTCTATTGAACCGAATCGTGACCAAGTGGAAGTTACACATCTACATCTGGCATGTGCTACACATGAGAACAGGGCCAGGCTGCTTGATCCTAACAGGATGTGGCACTGCAGTTTTGAAATGGCTCTTGTTTTGTCCAGAAGTGACACTGCAGAACTACACTCCCACCTGCCCAGTCTTGAGCTTGTAGTCATTGTACATGACGACTGGGGGTGACTGTGGGGCCTCCCTTGGCAGCCTCATCAGTGCAATGTTGTAGGGAGAATCTGTACGCCTGTCAGGGAGCCACTGCTCATGAATGATCGTCTCTTCGGCCTGCACCTGAAACAGAAGAGGCAGGTGCAGATTTAACAGGAAACAGGGCCAAACACAATGATGCTTCTTCTGGCATACGTGTTGCTGGTGCAGTATGCTGGGAACGCAACTGGGCTGCCAAAATCCAAAATCAACTCTTCATTCTAGCTTTGAGCCCAAGTTTCCCACCACATTGTTCATCAATCCTACTGAGACACTAACACTCCTGTGAGTCGTTTGACTCTGAATGTGGCAACGCATTTCTGCTGACAAGATCATTGCACAGGTGCACCCTAATAACCAGGCCACTGAACCGGCATGCCTCACAGTCTCCTGCATCGCATTTCTCGTGAAGGGGCCCAGATCATTGAATTGAAATGGGACACGGGTTACTGATGTAAGGAATCACAGTCAGCACGGAGCAAGGGATTCAAGTCACACAGAGTGCATTTGGCCTCGCCCATGCATCCAACAACATAGCACATTACAACAAATGCAGTCAGTGCTGCAGATCACTGATGGATCTGCACTCCCAAAACAAGGTATGGCATTGTTATGTGGTGCATTGCATCTTCAATGTATCCTATTCCAGTGTATGTCTGTTGCAATCATTCCCTGCTCGATTCATCGACATCGCTTATGCAAAAATACCTCCATGCCGCTCTTCGATTTGCCAGACACGTGCGTTTCCCCCAATGTGATGATGGGTCTCATCCCTGCACTCCAGTCAGACTTGGGGTCAACGCAGTGTGCAGCAGTAATGACATGGCGGGTGTCGATGAGCACACCGGAGCAGAGGTGGCCCTGTGTGGACAGCGACTTGATGGAGGCAACATAGGAGATGCGGCCTTTCGGGATGTTCAGATCCTGGAGCAACAATCTGTTTGATTATTCCTGTGCCTTTAAGACGATGGTGGGCATTTGTACCATGTGCAACGTTTGTATGAGTAGTTGTTGCAAGCACCTCAACTCGAAAGCCCTGAAGGTCTGATCAGGATGGGAAACAAAATCAAATCCCATGTTGAAGGCATGACACGCTGGAGAGGCAGGGCAAGTGAAATGACTTGACAATATAACATCAGTAAGAATGGCACAAAACAGTCCAGATTGCCAAACGGTTGTAAAATCGCTTGGAATGGCCTTGATGTATCAATGCACATCGTTGGAAACCCTAACTGGAAACCCTATCTGAGACAGATAAACAACCATATGTCGAGCGCATCAGCATAATGCAGGTTCATCTTCTTCCACTCACCCTGGGGTCATGAGCACTCTTGCCTTCCTGTCAGCGCAACCCAACAAGGGTACATCAGCCCAATCCTTTCCCTTTCTGCATTTCCAAGTTGCACTCATGTGCTTGTGCACTGTGCTCTTCATCTAATTAGAACATGCTGTCCTGAGCCGAAACAGCAGGCATACATCAGGCCTAGATATCCAGTTACCAAGACAGGTGTATGTGTGTTTCTGTTTGGCGATCAACACTGTGCACTTTATACACAATAACCCTGTGACATCCCTTACACATGAAGAAAACATCATGGGCTGTATGTCTCGTTTCCAGAGTGAACGAAAACATCCCTGGAGTCATGGCATATCATCAACTTTACGATTTGTGGTCAAATGCCAATTCTGCCGTGAATACAAGTGGAATGTTGCCAGCAAGTTCTTACGTGCACTATACTCAACAGGCAGCCAGCTCTAAAAGTACTCTCTCTGTTTTCCATGTTTTACATCCTACACGTTTACCTGTGGTGAGAAATAAGAGAAGTCCATCCACCACTACTCCATTCATGACAGTTGCCACAATTGGACCAAAAACCTAGCAGGGATTGGCACAAACCGGCCACATCTTAGGCCATGCTGTATCACTGGCCGATCATTCGTACATGCTTCAAAATCATGCAAAATCGTGCAATACCAATCAAGCTTGCAAGTGTTGGTCACCTGTTTAAGGGCAACAACACTGTTGTCAATCCATTCACGTGCAACATCCACACGCGTGTACAAGCCAATCTGGTTTTTCTTTTCAAAGCACTCTGGTCCAGAAGATGTCACCCCAACAATGATGTCAGTCTTGGCACTTCTGTCTCTGGTGTCAGACAGTAGCAGCGGCCCGCCAGAATCACCTGAAGCAACAATTAAATCAACTGCTGCCATCTTCATGCACTGCAGCAAATGTTAGCGGAACATCTACCATGGTTCAAAACTGTCATTATGTCGAGTGTTGTGTATCAGCCAGATGTTGCATGATAAGCTGCCCCACATCATGAAGTTTGGGCAGTGAGGTAACAACCAGTTTCAGCTGGTGATATTCGCTATGCAACAGAACGTAGGCTCTCTGACAGACAGAAGCCATTTGCCAGCCTGCATGATCTGGGCACAACAACCCTGCTGCAAGGAAGTCTGCCAGCACACAGAGCAAGGCTCCAAATGGCACTCCCACTGCGAAATAAAACAATTGCCCAGTCAAACAAAGGCGCAGTGATCGACAGTGATCTCAACAATTTTGCCCGTAAAAGAATAGGGCAAACTTTTCAGGCTTGAACAGCTGAGTAAACGACCATACATTGCATCGCCACAAAGGCCTCTCGACAGAGCATTGTCCCATGCGCTGACAAATATGATCAAAGCATATCAAAGCAGGATGATGCTGGTGGACGAACCTTGGCAAGTGTTCTGTAACATCGACTCAGCACAGATGACGCCTTTGGACAGGGTTTTGAACCCACACATGCTGTTGTCATGGACTGTGAGGTTGTCTGCCATCTGCAGCTCGTTGGCCATGTGGTTTTTACTCACTTCGCCCCATCCAAGAGCAACCAATGGCCTGGAAGTACCAATGTTCTATCTTTCAAGATGGCATTTCGAGAGCACAACGGATAGCAACAAAGATGATCGCATCACCCCTCTTATACTTTGCTAATGTGGCAAACGCAAAGACACAATACAACACTGCAATGCTAATCCATTAAAATGGATTACTGTTTTACACACTAACCCTGGCTGCATTTCTAGGTTAAAATGTTCAATCATCAGCATTGTATTCGAAATGCAGACAACAATTTCGGTACTCAATACCCAATTGCATGCAGTGATGTACAAGTCTCATGTGATGCACACTAACAGCTAGATATCAGTTATGAATGATGGAGAATTGCCACCAACAAATGCAAAATGCAATTGCATACTTTAGTTTCACCTGTTTCTGGGAAAATCTGAACCAGCCTTGGCGAGCTGGGGCAGCGGTATGTCAAACTCCCAAGGAAGCAGAAGCAAGGCAATGTCGAAGCCATCCTTGAAGTGGCCGTTCAACCACTTCTCATGCACAAACATTCTCCTTGCACGAATTTCCTGCTGCAGACACCAACACGTACGTCACTGCCAGCCACGTCTGTTTGATACCATAGCAATCTCACATTGCGTTGTTTGCAACCCTATATTGCTACAATAAATTGTAAGTGCGTTCAATACAAAGGTCTGCACTGGGGGTGGCACTGGTGGTGCTGACAATTGTCATGAGCAGTTAGGCTAGCAAGCAGCTGAACTTTACAACATCACCTCTCACAACACGCATGAATCTGAACAAAGACCTGCAGTCGTATGAATGACACCTGCATTGGTGATGGCAGCACAGTGGCTCTCTCATTTTCATGTTTGAGACTAGGGTTGTTTTGAAATTTTGCATTGCTGAGGTCAGGAGTCCTGATGCGCTGCATTGCACAAATCATTTCCATGCACTACCAACTACGACTGATTTTCCACAGCCCCAAGTGGAATGAAACAGGACACCTTTGGCTGCTGAAAAGCGATATCATCCACCTCTGCGTGGTGTAACTTAGAGCTCATACTGCAACAGGCAATCAACAATGAAATGTGCAAGTGGCTTCACAAACTACCCTTTGGGCTTTCCTTGCCTTGATACTACAAATGTCCCCAATTTTCCCTGCTTGAGGCACAAAAGATCTTCACGGACCGTGCCATTGTCAGCCAGAAGGTGATCAGATACCCAAAGATATCATACCACGATACAGGCTCCCATGATCCATGTAAGCGTGTGTGCTCCTGTTGCAGGTCTGATTGTTAAATAAGCTCACAATTCCTAGGCTATAAAGCGCTGCGCCTCCACCACACGGAAATAATACCCAAATAGGTCCAAAAGCAAGAAATCGGTTCCCTGTCTGGGCAACTATTGTCGAGTGACCGTCAGTGCACTGCTCACCGCAGGCCCATCTTCCCTGCCCCCGATCACAATGTCATAATTAGGGCCTCAAAGTAAGCAGTACTGACTAGGCCCATGTGCATAACAATGAGAGGACAAATCGTTCCAAGGGCATTGCTTTCTCATTTGCAGCAACTACAACTCCAGGCATTCCGCTGAGTTACATGTTGATATGCACTGAGTGCCCCCTTGCACGACAAAGGCATCCTGTACATGACACCTACATGTATGGTGCAAAAGGCCCCTTTGCACGCAATGCTTCATACATGTTGAAGCTTTTCAATACATTTATTGGCGAGACACCAAAGCACATCCCCCAACACCCACCGCAACCCCTTTCATTGTCTCATCATCGTCAGTGTAGACATGAACGATGGGTGGCTGAGACAGTTCGGACACGCAGTGAGCGGCTGTCAAGATGACGTCTTTCTTGATAAGGGTGCCACCGCATGAGTGTTTGCCAGCAGCATTGCGAATCGAAACCACATATGGATGGCGGCCAGCAGGCGCCGGAACACCTGCCTGCACAATGACAGTCATGAGAAGACTCTGTTTGCCACACACAGCAAAGCAGGACAGCCACAAGCACTGCTGAATGTGCCAAGGTACTGAGATAGCATCCTGGAGTAAGTCGACTTTGGATTGCTGACATGTGTGGACATCTTGACCACAAAGCGAAATGCTAAGAAGATGCCCATTGCTGCCAAATGGTGGACAAAGAATGGCTCCTTCCACAGAACACGAAAATAATCTCAAAACGGCTCCCACGGCAGCAAGGTTCTGTGCCGCTCTTTTCCATGCTGTGGAACTATTTGCGAAAAGGGCTTCTGAAATGCACTGTGGCAGGCACAAACAAATTCCGATCTGGACATTTTTTGCCAGGGCACAGATACTGGTAGGGTACGCGCCAAAGCATGCGCATAAGACTAGCTTCAGCTGTGCAGTGACTGCATCGAATTTCTGCCACTTTATAGTTGCAGATACAATGGTGCTATAGACACCAGGTTTGGCACAAGTGTAAAAGGACCTTGTTATCTCAGGTATGGCCAATTCATTAACAACACACAGCATCAAGTAATCGCAAGCGCCCGCACATTTACCAACCACTACATCGCACCATTGCCGCTGCCCACCATTCTGAAGATCTTAAAGGACCATAATCTCACGGTTGCATTGCTAGAAACGCTCTTGCTGCTGCTGCTGTCACAGAACACACTGATGCATACAATTTCACGTTCTCATTCTCCTTGACACTATTTTCTGTTTTCCTTGCACTTCCCAAATAGATATGATGAGCAAGTGATGCACAGCATTGTGCACAGGAGAGTTGACAATGCAACAGTCCAGCCTCAGGAGTTGCTGCCACTCACCATTATTTTTCCCCGGACCTCGACTTCATCTGAGGGAAGGCACAACGAATATAATCACAATTGGTAGGTCGCAACGGCAGGGTTCTGCTGCATCGACGGGCACGCAGAGAAGTGAACAATGGTAAGGTGCCCCAAATGGGCTGCCATCTGGGGACTGTGGAGGCACGCGCTAGATGCCAGTTTGCAATCGCAAGGGCAACGTCCTGCCACCAAAATGTATTAGCAGGATTGACACCGTGCTGGCAGTGCATGGACTAGCGACAGCCAAAATCTTTGGGAAGACCACCATATCAAGCTTGCAATCCGCACAGAACTCCAGCCTGTAATGCCACTGGGTGGCATCCTCGAATTCACACCGTGGGCCAGCCAGGCAAGATCCCGCTCATGTAGCGTATACACAGGTTGTGCTCAGCAACAGGCACATGATAACAATGCTTGCAGGCAAGGAGTGCCGAACTGCTCTTTTTCTTTCTTGAGACTGAGCATTTCTTCAGCTTCGACCGATTTGGGGCTTTACATCGCCTTGCATGCTCTTACTGGGAGGCACAAGTCCCACACATCTTGTGATAGGACGGGGGAGGCATCTGGACACTGAAATGTGATGTCATAGTTTGGAAACAAAAAAGAAAAAGAAACTCTTGCATATGCAAGTCAACGTCGCGAGCGCAAGCCTGCGAGGTTGGGCTGGGGGGACATGGAAGACATGGCGGCCGAGATCTGGCAGGCAAGCGTGCAAGCCGGCACTCGCCTGGCGGATCGGTGGGTGCCACGGGAGATCCGGGGGGCGCGCTGCCCGGAAGTCCACCTCCCCGCGCCAAGAGCGCTATGGCGGTGATTAACGTTGACAAGGCAGGCAGCAACGACACCAACCGACCCCCAGCCATCCCTGCGAACCGAAATCACGAGTCAGGAGCAGGGTTCCCGCGAGCAACTGAACGGCAAGCCGACGCCGACCGCTCTGTTGGGTGGAAGGGTACTTAAGGGGTTGGGCTACCCTTTTCCTGCCCCCGGCACAGGTGGTTTTGGTTGAGCAGTGAGACATGCCACCCTGTGATATGAACCGGGCCAGCAAGCAGGCCTCGGGGGCAGGGCGCAGAAAGGGATGGGACGAGCGGAGTGTTGGGGGACCAATGCTTTCAAGCTTGGAAGCCTCATTAGGCCTACTTAAGTAGGTACTTAAGCAGACAGTGGATACGGTATGGAACTGCATTCCACGCTGTGCCCTCATAGTGATTCTCGCTACCACCTTCGATGTGGGATCCCAGCATCTTCTATGCAGCGCATGTTGTAGGAATTGCCGGATACTGGCAGAAAAGTGGCGCGCCGTTTGCGGAGGGCCGGGAAGGACGGCCTGGGGGGCCCGTGCTGCAGCCGTGCTGTGGACGCTCGCTCAGGCCACGGGCTCCGAGCAGTCAAGATCGGAGCCCCACCGCGCTCATCCAAACATCCCAAGCGAAGGCCGACGGACATGCCACGTCGTCAGCGACGCAGCGCAGCGCTCCGGCGCGGAAAGGCCCACAACTTCGGTACTTAGTCCCGGCAACCCGCATGGGCCAGCGCCAGTCGCCTGGGCGGCGCCATTGTTCACCTGCAAGCTCTCTGCCACCGTTGGTTGGCCCCTCAGCGGGGCCAATCTGATCGGTCTGGATCTGTCTAAAAATGCTCTCAAGCGTGGATGACCAAGACCTCAGGTCAGCTCTGCCGTCGATGAGAGGAGAGGGAGTGCGCAACAGGGGTCGAAGCACACGGGCTGCAGTGGACATATGGCACAGCCACAGCACGGCAACAAATAGGGCTGCTGTGGCGATTACAGAGGCAATGATTAGCATTGGCGACTGCAGCGGCGGTCGGGTGCGAGGCGATTCATGCTCATGCAAATCACTCCTTTTTTGTCGCTGGCAACCGCCAGCGCAACGCTGCGGTGCACATGGTGGGAATCTGGTGCAGGTGGAATGCACTGCGGTGATGTCTTTCAAATCCTATTTAACAACAATATAAAAGCGAACGAGTAGGTTCACGAAACAGTTTATTCTTGTGAACCTGTTCGTTTGAATTTGTCGGTTTTCATAGTATTTGGCCTCATTGTGCTCCACTGGGTGGAGGGCAACTGAATCTGGCTCATGAGTCCTAAAGGCAGAAGCAGGGAACATGCAAGTACAGTAGGGTTCCCTATATAGCGCTCCCCCGTGACATGGCCAACAATGGGGCGCTATTGCTGGCTGGGGGCGCTAAAAAATTTATTCGCTTAATGTAGCTAATTGCATTTTTATTCATAAAATTGCACTCCCCATCATAAGGGGACGTAAAATAGACCCATTAGCCATGTTGCGGCCCGTTGAGATGCCAAATTGACCCATCACACGAGTGCACTATGCGCCATCGTGTTACAGTAGTGGAACACCGTGTTTGGGGCTTGCATTGATGTTACGCGGTGCCTGTCGCAACTCATCATGTGGACTTGCACGGCATTGCCCGCATTGTGAATGCGGATTGCGCCCAACAGGGAAGGGGGGGAACATACCGTAGAGAACAGGGGATACCCCCCCACCCCCACCCCCACTCCCACCCCCACCCCGTTGAGCATTTCTGCAAATATCCGTAACGCGGTGGGCGTTATGGATAGAGTACCCCCGCGTTATCCAGCGTTCCCCCTGTGTTAACGCAGCCGTTGAGGCGCAGCGGCCACCGTCCAAGCAAGTTGTAGGCCGCCGCCCACGCTCCCACCGTGAGGTGGCGCGGCAAAGTACCACCTTGCGCACCTTGCACTACCCATACACGCCTGTTAAGAAGATCGTACGCAGTGCCGCGAGTGCCCACTCCATGGTCAACGCCAGTCAACGGCCCAGCACCAGACGTGTCCTCCTCCCGTCCGCGATATGCCAAGCTCACGGAGACGGTCGGCCGCCGTGGCGTCCGTCCACCGGACACCTCTCCTGGGTGTCCACAATACTAGATTAAGGTCCCACTGCGCAGCGAAGCTGCATAAAGTACTACAAGAATGGTGACAAGCCAAAAGGGGGCGCTATTGCGGGCGCATTGCGGGCATATTGCGAGCATTGGGGGCGTAATACAGGGAACCCTACTGTATCCACGCGACCACAACCTAGACAGCACAGCAACACCATCATATGAGGGCGTGCACTAGATGTTCACACAATATGTGGTATAATGTGCACACAGTATGTAGTGTGCGTCCCAGATATGTCATGGATTCATCGAGGGCTTGGAAAGATTCCACCCAGTCCAGATTTTTTTAGCAGCACATGAGGGGCGGAAGCCACAGACATGGCCCTGACTGGGTTTTCGAGGTCTTGTCTTAGGGTCCAGGGCAGTCAGGACCTGAACGAGTCTGACGTTCTTGGACCTGGACAGCACCGTGTGCACATCCTGGGGGAGGCCGTTCCCAATACGGGCCGCGCATTCAAAGGATCTCGTAGGAGAACCGGTACATACATTTTCGTACATTGGAGTGAGCTCTCACTCCAAACTCCCAGCATTACCCTATCCCCATCTCCATCTCGACCTCCCCGGGTGAGGCCTGTGTTGAGGGCCTATTCCAGAATCCCAGAATCAGAATCACCTGCGGCGGCTCCATCTGCAGCTGCCTTCACTGGAGCGCACGACCGTCCGCCTTGCTCGCCGCTTTCCCATTCCCAGCCGCAGTCGCGGGGCATTGACCTTTTGGCGCCGGCGGAGCGCACAACGCGTCAAGCGGCCTGCTGATCGGTCCGGTCTCAGTCTCGCCGTTCGTTGGCCCATTTGTGTGAGGCCACCACGCTGCTCTTTTTGAACCGCGTTCTGCGGATGGGATTTCCTAGAAATGACGCCAGGCCTTCCGTCGCTTTCTGCCCCTGCGGTCACCTGGCCCGCTGGCGGCGCTCTGGCCCGGCTGCATTCCCTCGACAGAGGACCATTCCTTGCCGTCGACGGCAGCGAGCGACGCTAATGCGGGGTTCCGCTCAGAATACACATTGGCACCCTCAGTACAAAAGATTCCCATTGCGAGTGTTAATGGGGTTGTCTGTCCCGCAAGAGTGTGTTATGGCGTGCGCTTGACAATCTTATCCGCAAACTCCTGGTTTGGAGAGCACCCCCGCCCCATCCATGCGCCAGCCGCCACAGTCATCCGCAGTTCGTTATTCCACCCTGGGAGGCCTTTCAAGCGCCCTCGTTTTGAACATCCAAGAGCCCCCGTCGACTGGGCTCCCGCCAATAGAGGCGGTGGATTGGATGAACGCCTGGCGGGCTCACAAACGACCCAAGCGCCTTGGATCGGGGGGAAGGGGTTTGTGTGAGGCAGGGTAGTGGCCACCTGCGGAGCAGAGCGTTTAGTTCACACCAGTGCTCGTGAGAATTCCATGCTTGTTTTAGTGATCGCCCCATGCCAGATACCGTGAGAGTGATGCAACCCGTGTGGCAGTCAAATGTGCATTTGTACCTAACAACCATCTTTGCTGTAGGATTATCTCAGGTATAAAATGGAAGATTTGTTAAGCCAGTCAGCATGCATGCATTCAGATTTACAGCCTAAAGGTGTTCGCACACGTATTGATTTGCTGTGTCCAATGACGTGCGGTACAGTGACTCCTCTCAAATTGATATCTGATATTGTCTGTCCAGGGCTGCAACACAAAGACGCCAAAAACCCATCCATAGGAGCGATTTTATTGAACCTACCACATCATTAGACTTGACAACGTTGAAAACAACATGGTGTGCAAACCTGTTGTGTCATCAGGAATGGGCCTGGCCCTCATCTGGGCTTTCTTTCTTTGGAGAACGTGCGAAGCTGCCTGTGCCAACGAGACGATGGACGCGGTGTGCATCTGTGCTGACGACCCGACCTGCACTAGCCCACAAGCACCTTGTTTGTGTGAAGCTGGAGTGGATATACCTGCTGAGAATCTGGCGCAGTTCCTGCAGACAAGGAATGGGGTGCTGGAATATTTGCACATATCAGGCACAGAATTGGAATTTTTAGAACCTTTGGCTCAGTGGCTGAGGGAAGTAAATCGCACCATCTTGGTCAAAGACACTGGAATACAGTCATTGGAGCTTCTAGGCAGCTTGAGGACTGCAGGAAGTTTTGCTTTGATCCACAACACAAAATTGATGAGCTTCAATGGCTTGGGCAGTCTTGCCCAGATAGGCACTTTATGGATTGAAGACAACGATGCACTTGTGGACTTGGGTGGTTTGAGTAGTGTCAGTGACATAGACAGTTTGTTGATTGAAGGCAATGATGCACTGGTGGATGTGGACAGGCCAGGCGATTCAGCTTCTATGAATTATGTTTTCATTGGGGAGAACAATGCTCTCAGGACTTTGGTTGGACTACAAAATCTTACAGAGGTTAGAGGACAATTGACAATATCAACAAACAGGGTGCTGCAAAAG